TTTATCACTTGTACTCGTTTACAGAAATCTTGAACAAGATGGGGTGGAAATAACTCCAAAAGAGACAGACAGCATACAGGAGGTTGATGGTTGCATCAGAAATTTTATGTCAGCAGTTATTTGTGAACTGACAGCATCTTGTCTCAAAGTTGAGTATTACTGTACAGAAGCACCATTATTTATCGTTTGCCCTGGAAAAGGCTTTACCCAGGCACCAGGATAAAATCTTTGTAGGCAAAAACTGGTAAGGCAGAGTAAACTATTTGAATTTCTGAAAATTATTTATAAAGGGTGTCTTATCGTAAGGCACACCCTTAGAAACATCTGGAAAATATCAGACAGTGGAAAATCAACAACAGATCAAATAATCATAAATTCCAACCAAAAAATGGAGTGAGTGAAGGAGGATTTGGAGAGCTTGCATTCATCGTTGAATAAATAATGGTAGAAGTACCATCACATATAAGATATCTGTGCTCAGGTGCTGATCAAGATCTCTCTCTCCTACTAAAGCATGTATGATTAGATGATGTGCAACACATTGTATAACTGGATACTCTAAAACTGGACAGTGTCTATTCTGCCTTCCACTAGAAAAATACAGTCATTGTAGTAGTTCTTTTTCTTTTATAAAAGATAGACAGCTTGTATTTCAGAAGCTAAACATGTCTCACCCTTCTAATTAAAATAAAGGAACTTAAACGAAATTTAGAAAACAATGATATTTGTAGGACATAATATATGTTATTGGCAATGTGAATACTCTTAAGAAAAAATTAAAAATCCATGTACCATATAGGATCAGGACAGCAACTTTAAAGGTGTGAATACCTGATCCCCATTAGTTCGCAAAATCCAGACTCCTTTTCCAAACTCCAACCTCCTTTTGGTGGAGGGGAAAAAAAAAAGATACAGATTATACTAAAACAGACTCTAAGTTGATTAAATAGAAAACATACTCTGAGAATGGCAGTGTTAATAATTGTAGAAGAAGATGTTTAAACTTAATCCATTTTACAGCTTTTGTTCTGGTTCCTAAGACTTACTGTGGGTATGGGGAGCCACCCTTTGGTCATTATTGTAAATGCAAAATCAATACAACATAGCATGGATGCTGAGTTTCTGCCCTCTGAGGACTAGGTAACTGCTTTTAAGTTCACTGAAAGATACCCCAGGGAGCAACCCTGGTTTACCATCATTTACAGTATACCTTACACGGATGATAAGGATGATTAATTTCTACTCATGCAGATCTTTGAGCATGTTATGTGCTAAACATTGTCATTGCACTCAGTACCTTCCATTCTCTCTCACATGACTAATGTGGGTCAACTTCCACAAATGCTGAATCTGTAGCATCATTTCTCACTACAATGAGGATTAAAGGAAACAAAACACTTGTAGCTTGGTAGAGTTCTCTTCCAAGAGCTCAGAACTGAATATACGAAAAGGTTCTCCCCAAATTACACTTTCATCGTGGCGACTGATAGACACAGACCTGTGTGAAAAACAAGCTAACAAATAAAAAGGCCTACTGCTACCATATGATTTCATCAAAACAGTCTGGACACTGATGTGGAAGGACAAAACCCTCAAAGAATGGAAAACAGATATTAAGGCAAAGAAAGGTCAGCTGACAGGGCAGAAAGGGAAATCTATGGAAACTGACCAGAGAGATTAAACTTAAGCCCCACACAACTCTTAGTTCACATTGAAAACCACAAACCATTCCTGGAAAGGAATAAACTATTATGCTGTCTCTTAGGCTTGATGTGAGCAGCATTTTAAACACTTCTCTATTTTATGAGAAGGAACTGAAGTTCCCAGAGTTTTCCATTTATTCTTCCCCCAGGACTTTAGAGGCTGTTGATCTTCCTTTCAATGCGGGATCATCCTCTACCATAGTCAGCTTTTACTGGTTAGTATCAAGTGGACACAGTCCATGAGACTATGAAGATGAAAAGTGGATACGTAAACACTGGATAACCCAGACATGGCAGGAAAGCAGCAGTTCTGGATTTGGATACAGACTTGAGAACACCAAGACTAGGAAGGTTAGACAAACAATAAGCCAGTAGGTGACAGAAACAAAGGAAAGAAACACACTGGAAATAGCCATCAATTCAAAATGAAGGTAGTTAGTAGACCAAAATGAGACTACTAGTTGCTTTCTATCCTGTCACCTTCCATCAAGCAGTTTTAATAACCAAGTCTCCGGTTACAAGGAGAATATACGTACTTCTTCACACATTCAAGAGATCTCACAAACACTGCCACTCCAAACAAACTATTTGTTTCTCCAACATTCGTACTCACGTGTTATACTGGGGAGCAAAGATGCAAGAAGGTGATCTCTCCAAGGTAAGTTAGAAGCAACATCAGGATAACACTGATGAATTTCCAGGTGATCAGATCATAAGGCCCCTTGCTTTAAACGTGTATCACTGTTGTTCAAAGAAAGCTTATATGCCCTAAAGTTAGGACCCTTTTCCCAACCATGAAAGTAAATACAGTACAGTTAATCATTGAACAACATTTCCACTGGCTAAAAAGCAGCTTTTTAATTACTCACTGTTAGTGACTCTCAATAAGTTTTCCTTGGCCTGAAGGGCAGAAGCTGCTCAACAGTGCCTTATGTGGAATATTAAAGTGATGGAAAGAATATGAGAAAGGCAAGGGACGGTTTGACAGTTTTGTGATGTTTTTTTTCCCCCCCTCCTAATTTATAGGAACACCCACATTGCATACCCCTCTGTATTGAATTTTGTTTTTAAAAAATCTATATTTGCTTCATTTTGTAGTCATACAGTCCAATTAGTCTGGTACCATTAAATTCAACACCAGTTTTGATTTGTGACTGTTAGATGTCAGCGTTGATGAATTTGCACCACAGATTCACACAAGGGTCTGATAATATTTACATTCTGAGCCGCTTTCTCTTCTCTATTTGAGCAGGTTCTCCAGACTGCACTGTGGTCACTTTATAACTGGAAGCTGAAACTAACACATACTTACCCAGCATGGAAGGGCCTCTCATGAAAAAGAATAATCATATCAAAAACATTGTATCACTGCTTTTGGAATGATGCCTGCACTATGAAATGGATGTGTTTGAACGGACTTCATAGATATACCACTCTGCAAATCTGGGCATGTCAGTTCTTCAAAATTACTTTGCCAGGGAAGAGAATGCTGCAATTCAAATGTGATTTGTTCCATCACTATTAAACTGAGTTGACTGAAGGATGATTGTAGGGTAGTGAATGTAGAACTGAAAAGAAATGGAAGGAAAGCAAGTAAATTAACGTGGCTGAGATAACTTTTGTTCTGGTTTTCATCAGACAATGGAATACTGTCTATATTTATTCTGAAACACTTTTGAAATTTAAGGTTAAAAAATATCACTTAAGAATCTTATGAAAGTCATCTTATTTCTTCATTACAGAAGAGCCATTGTTTGGTCTGATACCACTGTCATTACATATTACCTGCTCAGCGCATCAGGTTTTCAAAGGAATGAACACATAGACAAGGGCTTAATTCATGAAATTCATGCATACAGCTGAATGATAGACACTAGTTTGGGCTTAAGTGTAACATACTCAGCCAGGCTGCAAAATTCCTACCCAAGAGGTTAATCTTGGATATTCAAAGTACCTTGCTTAATGTCTACCTATATCATAAAAAGGTTCAAACCCAAACGCTCTCATTCTAGACCAAAGTTTCCTGGGATTTTCTATTTGGTTTGCTATCCATGATCAGAAGCACCGAGAGTATGCTCCTAAGCACTGAATATCAGACAGGTATTTGGCAAGGCACTTCAAGTCTAATAGCTCTTTTAGCACAAATTTCATTCAAGACCATGGAGAAGAAAGGGGTTAAAAGAGCCTTTAGGGAACCATTGCAGCCTTTTCCTCCTCTGTACAAAAAGGCACTTATCTTCAAAAGATAATTCAGATTCATGAATTCAAAAAAAAAAAAAAAAAAAAAAAGACATCTCCAAATATCAGGAATGTGTTCAGTTGAATTAAATCTCATCTTCTCATTTCAAGAAATAGCTGGTACAGAACCAACCAACATCCCTACAATACACTCAACACATACCTAACTTGGTTATCTGTTTCCTAGAGGCAGCAGCTGTGAAACATTTCCATGATGACCAAGACCTTCTCCTTTTCCAGTCGTGAGAGCACACATTCCACACTTGGGCAGGTGCCTTCAGAAGACCCCTGTGAACCTGTCAACTATAAAAAGGGGCCCGCCATGATTATATCTCAGGCAATATGCAGAAACTGGGGAATGCAAAGGAGTATTCATGGTGACTATCTCATTACATTCTTTAGAGAAACTAACAGATTTGGGTGGCAAACAAGGTAATCTTTATCAGGTTCCTGGTATCTCAAGAGCCAACATTTATGCACATCTGTTAGAGCTGGTGTTGGTAGGAAGTCGTTTACTCAAATGAACCCTTCCATACAAAGTGATTCAGTCACCCCTTTTGTCTTGGATGACTGTTATTAAGCAGAGCGGGCCTGGTGCAGAATCACAACAGTACGTGCTCACGTACATTTTCCGTAACTTGTTGCCAACATCTCCCTCTTTGTTTCTATAATTTGACCTTTAAAACCCAGTAATGCAGAATACAATTTAAAACCTTTTGGAAGATGAGCAAACTTCTCAATATGAATTTACAGCCTTTTTACCTCTATTATAATAGCTGTAATGAATACTGCCAACTGCCACTATAGGAGCATCTAGTATCAAACCAGAAACCTTCACCCTTTGGGCAATTCCTTCCAGTCCCTCGCAAATCATATTATTACATATTCACCTGAGTTATTTGTATCTTGGTGATACTCAATTGCTTACAATTGCATCCTTGACAATATCACTTGTGACTACAGAAGACATAACGAGAGTGTTAGTAGTTTTAAACATTGTGCATTTGATAGAACACAATTTGAGCAAAAACAGTATTTTAAAAGAAATTGTACCCTTTGTTATTTTTCTTAAACTTCTTATTTACTTTATTGAATTATTTCCACTTTTATCATGTATATTCTTTATCTTCTACGGTGTCTATAAAGATGGAGAATAAAAGTAGACTGAACAGTTTTGTCTTTGGAGTTCCTTCAGTGCCTTCATTGGTTACCAACACAATAATTTTACATTAAAATTGCAAACAATATTTGGTGAAATTAAAATCCAAAATAATACTTTTTTAAAAAAGATGAAATCTTAAAACTGTTTCTGGAAGCATCCCCTTAATACTGGATTTTTAATTTTTATTTTTTATTTTTTTTAAGAATGGAATCAGTATTTATGTCTATGTTATGCAACCACATTACATTCTGAAACTGGAATTACTTAGAGGGAGCAATATTTCTTCCAAGAGTGATTAATGAGCTGAAAAGAAAAACCTGATGCTATTACACTTCTTGCACATCAGGCAAATACATAGAACAGATCAGCATGTTTTGTCCAAAGGCTGGAAAGCGTCTTAGTGATTCCCAACTGTCTGTAAATATATTATACTTCAGAAAAACACGGTGCTCCAAGCTTGTAGATAAGGTAATATCCCTGCTCAATATATAAACTCCATCATTGTGGAGAGTGCAAGTCAAGTTAAGACCTGATTTTGATGTGTTCTCTTTGAGGTAGAGCCATTCTTTGGTAGCAATGTTGTAAGACTGCACAGTTAACACGTCCTCACTTTGGCTGGATTTTTGGTTTGGCCCAAGTTCATGAATACAACCCCCTACCAGATATATTGTTTCTTCAACAGAGAGCATCTGTTGTTTGCGAACATGGACATCACAAAGTTCAAAGTTGGTCCAGGAATCAGAAGTGGGACAGTACTGCAAAATGTTCATATTCCTATCTGAAACAGAGGAGAGAGATTTACAAATAAATAAATATGAAGATACTCATGGAGGAGGATCTCCACAGTCTGTATCAGACATTATTACACAATGAAAAAGTGTAGCAGACCAGGGAAGAAATATTGATTACTGAGAACTGTGAGTCTTTGCCACAGTGATAAAGTTTGAACATTCTCTTCTATTGCAGAAGGAAAAGTTAAGCTACTTCTGGCACATTAAACAATGCAAATGCTCTGGGAATGCAGATTTAACCAGCATAATCCCTAACTGTTACCTTATGCTTTTAATTTTGCCTCTGATTGATATGAAACATTTTTTTCTGAAAAGGGAAATGGAACGATATTCTGCTTTTCACTGGTGATGATCACAGATGAATCAAATTAGCATGAACATAGTATGCTTCATTATCGGCTGTCAAGTGCTAATTTATCATTCATTTCACTCCACAAATGTAAATTTTATGAAATAAAATTCATAAAGCTGGTTACATTTCATCAAGTGGCATGGATGACCTAAGGGCACATATTCAGTACATCATAAAGAGAGAAATACACAGTCAAACTCATTTAAAAAACAGGAACAACATGCTTCTGCATTAGACAGAAGCATTGAGAAAAAAAGCTGAAGCCCTCTCTATGTTTCAGTTACGACTCTGTGGATGCATTTGTTTGCAATACAGTTATTCTATGAAATTGTTACACTATCTCCCTGATTTACAGTGCAGTGGAGACCCTGGCTGTGTCCCATACCAAGGCTTCAATAAATTAACAAAGAATGCACATGAGTCACTAACTAATAAATTAAGTTTCAACCTCTGGAGACCTGAGCTTAAATCCAAACTCAAGTGACAAGTGGTAACAGGCTCGCAGACTTTTGATAAAATCTGCTCCATATTACAAGTCTATTCTGCATGAGGATCTCCAGATGAGCACTCAAGCGGAAAAGCAGATGGTGACATACTACCAAGTTATGTAAGAGCACACAGGTACAAATAGCCATAAATATAACTTGATTGTCATGAAAGAAGCGCCTGAGCAGCATGGCTCAGGAGGTGCTGCTATTGCATTTGCTTTCACTGTGATGACTTTCCGTTATTGCTTATTACTTTATATTACCTTCTTAAACATCTAGTCCATATTAAATTAAGAGAAAAAAAAAAAAAAAAAAAAGGAAAAATATCATGGCAATGCTCTATAAAATTGCTGATCAACTTTGTCTACAAACAATGAATCATTCCCTGACTCACTCGGGGGGAAAAAAAAAAATAAACTCCCCACAACATTTCTAGCAATTAAGGTTGTGTCTTTCCATAGCAGTAATCTTCTAAAGAAAAATAGAATGCTATGGTTTGAGTGGGAGCACATGAAAGTCTATTGGGATGTAGCCCTCATTTACATAGCATGGAGCCAGTGTCTTTTCTGTCCACAGAAACAAAACAAAACAACTACAACAAAAATACAAAACAAATATAGTACCTGACATGACAAGTTACTATTAGGATTAGATTTACAAGTGAGAACTGAAAGGAGGCTCTTTAATCACTAAAGTTCATTATATTTCACAATGCAAAATTTCAGATCCTACCATCTTTTGGAAAGTGCAGTCTCAGGAGAAAGCTCTATACAGAGAAAAGAAAATAATCCACAAAAACTACCAAAACAGTCTTACTGAGGTGTACACAGAAATAGGAAAAATAATAAATTAAAAAAAAAAAAAAGCATTAACTGTTGCATGATTTTATTTACCAAATGTAGTAAAAGAGCAAATGAAACTCAGTGTCTCTCAGATTGTGGTGCCTTATCACCTTCCAACATCTGCATAACTTGGAAGGTGAATCACCAGTGTAATTTCAGGAATTCTGGTTTCTGACAGCTGTCCAAAGCCAAGGTGTCACAGATAAACTGATTCTAGGTCCTTGTTCTGGTAAGGACCTTTATTTATAACAAGCACAGGCATTTGTTATCCTGAACATTCTTGGATTTAAACATGACTCAATTTAGGGCGCAAATCCTGACAACATACACTTTATTAATGAATTTTAAGGGAGTGGGAACTGCATTAGCAACATGCCAATCTTCCTACCCATGACACTAGGCGTGGGCAGCCTAAAGAGAAGAACAGCATAAGCAACAGAGAAGGAATTTGCAAAGCTCAGGGGAAGTAAGGTGGCATCCCTTTAATCTTATAGCACTATTAACCAAACCAGAGATTTTTCTTCTTACACCTCCTCTCTCTGTTGATAAAAATAACAAATAAAATAAAGTAAAATAATGGTAGTTACAAGTCTCTCCCATTACTCTGTTTCAGCCTCTTTTTCTCTGCTCTCTTGTCTTGTCCCAAAGATTGTTTCTCCTTAGGTCTGACTTCCCAGAGCAGTAAGTTCTGTGTGCCTGATACCCTTCAGTCCTAGTCTATCTGAACGTGCTGGGCATCAGGGACCACAAAGCACCCCAGCAGGTCCATTAGTGAGGAAGACCAAGGGACCAGGACTGCAGAGCACATCACAGCATGGCCTCCATATAGACATAGGCACTTTGATATCTTTTGCTTACTTTGGTCCTGAGTCAGAATGGACCGGACAAAAAGGCTTTGAAGGTTACCATTACCACACGGACCATGAGAAGTGGAAATGTGTCTTTTACAAACTTTAAAATGCTTCAGAGCTAAACTCAGACACTAGAAGAGACAGCTTGTTCTGATGTCAGTTTAGTTTTGTTTGCAGTACACTCTGTAAAAGCTGAGCCATAAATGATCTCTTTTCTAATTTTATTCTCCACTTGGAAAATAATTTCAACGTAGCGTGGTTAAACGAAGCAGGCAAAGACCTAGATATAGGAACTTCAATTTAGGAAGTTGTGATCAATATTAAACATTTGACATTCAAGAAAAAAAAAATCTAAGACTTCTGGAACTCTGAAAAAAACAATATTCTACAAAAGGAATAGCACTATATGCTTAAGGAATAAACAAAAGGAAGCTCTTTTTGTGGGGATTGCTTTTCCACTGGATAAGGAAAAAAAAAAAAAAAAAAGCAATTGTCAGGAGAGAATACAGCTTTGTATCCATCCCTCTCCATTGTCCCCTCAGAAAACAAGTACAGAAAGAAAATAAGTTCCTGCTTAAGCTTTTGATTAATGATACAATTATTTTGATTATTTATACAATTATTTCAGCACTGAAAAGCTTACCTATAGCTAGTATTTGTCTGTAAAATGCTACAGTGGAACAACCGTGACATACACGTAAAATAATGTAGGCAAAACTTTTCTTAGTATTTTTCCTTTTGACATTGTAATGTGTGTACCTAAAACGTAAACAAAAGTGTACCTGTTGAGATCTTTCTTTCTACTGTATGACCACAATCTAAGAGGAGAAGGGCTATGCTGGATATTAAAGTACCCACTAGTCCATCAGAAGAACAGAGGCCCAGATCCCCATACCAGCTTGTTGGATGGGAAATAACAGACAGCTATCTAGTTTTAAAGTCTATATGTTTGGCAAGCATAATTACAAATCCTAGACGTAGGCCCAGAAAACCAAACCAAAACAAAAAAAAACACAACACAATATCAGTATGACAGAGATACTTTTCTGTTTCATTTCATCAGTATGTTTTCTTACAACAGTTGAAAAAAAAAATCCTGAAAATGATCTATGCTTGAGGAGCAATCAGGTTAAAAAAACAAAACCAAAAAACTTTCTACCTCGTGTAGTGTATCCTCCGATAACGTAGATCTTGCCCTTGCACTCGCAAGCTGAGAATTCTGCAAGAGGGTTTGGCATGGATGCTACAAAGTTCCACCAGTCATTTTCTGGGTTATAACACTCCACATTGGAAAGAGACTGACCACCGATGGCATAGAGCTTTCCATTTACAGCCAAAAGCTTAAAATTGGACCTGAAAGACAAAGAATGCCGCACTGAAATAGGTCAAATAAGCGTACAGAAAAATATAGGAAAGAAAGTTCTTCCTATCGAGGCTCCAACACACCCATCATTACTTTCAACGTGTACCATCAATTCATGTATTACAGAATCTGAACTCTTCTGTGCATGTCCAAAGTTCTGTAATTACACTTTAATTACTCAGGAAAGTAACCAGTTACATTCTAAACATTAATGACGTTGACGTTAAGACTGATGAATATTTTATTTTGGATTTCAGTGTATCACAGTTTGAGTAGTAAATGGTTAGTTAACTAGCGTGTTCAGTAGAGGTTTCATTTTCACTAGGTTTTAATAAACTACCTTTAGTGGAGAAAAACATATTATATACACGTTCATCAAGGATATTATTTTAGTTAAAATTACAGGAATTTGAAACAAGACTTGATGAATGACAAGGAATGCGTACTCAGTCTGTTATACAGTCTCTTTAATAACCCTAATAAACAGAAATTTAAAGTGATATGCATTGAAACATATTTTCCAAAAAGAGGAAAAAGAATCCTGTACCTTATACAGCATTAGTTTAAACCACTAAATATACCCTCTATCCCTCTGAAGCAAGATGTATATGTAAATTAACATTCCATCCTGAGTTGCACAAAACACACTGCACTCTATAGGCAATGATCTGTTCTTTTATTTATTATTCTATTCAATTATGTTGTTGTATTTCACAAAGGGTACCTTTCCACTTACTGAAGTACAAGAAGCCTCACATCTTAAACTTTTAAGATAATACAGGCAGAAGCAATTCAGAAACAAATGGCCTATGGATACTAGAGGTGCAAGTGTGTAGAAAGAACTAGAAAGGCTTGAAGTTGAAGGGCTTGCATGTTCATCTATTCCTTTTAGCTGTGAAAGATGGTCTAATAAGAGATCAGCTTTTCCTCTGTTTAGGAAACAGTCCTACTTACAAGTCATTGTCTTTGCCTAGCAAGGTTATTACTTCTGTACTGCTCATTTTGAGCTAAATCCATGAAATTTTACCATGCAGTATCCTGATTAATTAAACGTACGAAGATCATTGGTGTGCACTACATTAGCATAAAACCAAACAGGGAACTGCAGTTTTACTGACACAGTGAAGTAGTGCTTTAGCCTTGCATTGGCCTGCTGAGCAGTACAGTGAATTTCACTTTGCATGAATCCAAGATTCAAAACTTACCGCTAAGTAGTTTTGCAGGTTTTTGTCTGGACAAAATGAACCTTGCCTAGCAGCAGTCTGCCCTGCAAGTTCTTTTTATTAAATGTATTTGGAAAAATAATTTGTTTCCAGATGGAATTATTTTGTTCTTGATATAGCTTTGGAAACTAAAATGCTCCTTTGAAAGAATTAATTGCTTTTTATTTTATTTTATTTTTTTTGCTGACATTTACGATTAGGTCATTTTGTTCATCTCCTCTGTACAGCAGTTATGTTTTCCGTCTTAGAGAATCCAGAATAACATGGCAATCAGTAGCGGGAACGAAATGAGGATAGTTACTTGCAAAACATTATAATTTTCAAAGCAATGTACCTGTTCTAAAAGTTATGGTGGAGGGAAAAAAAAAAAAGACAAATTAGCAGAGACAAAAAGAAATGTAAATTCATTTTCCAAATGATCTTTTAAAATAAAAACTAAACTAGAAAGTTTGTAACTCTGTGTCTATGATGGAGATAGTACAGGATTTTTGGCTTACAAAATGAGCTCATATGCACGTTGGTAAGTCTTTCATTAAGATCTCCTAGCCATATAAACTACACAAACATATTGTGTCAGAACATAGAAGAATTCAGGTTTCCCAATTCACACTTGCTTGACTAATTATCCAATTGTAACTACTATTTATCTGAATTGAGTTCATTTATACAGGTTTTGCTTGATTGCCTTTGCATCTCTGAATTGCTTCTGGCAGAAGCGGGAAAACTACCTGGTGAAAGACACAGGGCACAAATTTCAACTTCAATTATTCTAGAAGGCCACGTACTTGTGTGTCAGTTGGTTGAATCATTTAACCACTTCCAACACCTGTTAAAAGGAATGATATTTGGTGCAAGTATCTCAGATTTATGGAGCACATTAACTACATGATTCATTTTACTCAAAAGTAGCCACAAGTGCCCATTAGCACAGTTTATTTGAACGTTTGGACAACGGCTCAATATGTTATGAATAACTTCTGCCATTCACCTTTCCATGCCAGTAACAGCAGGTGTTTTTATGGAGAGTGAACATTAGGAAATATTTAGTGTATTTTTACACTCTTCTGATGTGTTGGAGCAGCTGGAAACAAGAAAACCAAACATGGAGCAACTAGCCAGCTCTCCACAACTAACAACTGTTCCATGAACTACAGCTTGGAAACAACTGAGCTTAACAGTATGCTAAGTTCAACTGATGTAACTCCACTCACTTGATTTGAGTTAGCTAAACTTGGGGATCTGAAATACTCTCCAAATGCCAGGTTGGTGTGAACCCTTCTTGGAGAGACAAGACCATATATGGGCTATGTCTTCTGAAGTCCTTCATTTCCTCTGAAAGGAACCCCAGGAATACAAGCAAGAGCAAGCTGTGCAGTTTTACAATAGTTCAATTTACAACATTTTTCATTTAACAAAGGCAAGTGCGAAGCACTACGTGAAGGAAGGAAGGAAGGACGTACAAAATGCAAAGGAACTAAGGGTCAAAGTGTATAACTTTCTGAATACAAGACAACATGCAAGAACTTCTGAAAAGCATAGCTAGTTCTAGATTGCATTAAGAGACATATAACATATCAAAAAGAGACCACTATTAAACTGGCTCTGAAGAGGACAGCAAGCATTTCCTTGTTCACTGACTCTGCCCATTTAGTATACAAAAACAAGTTAGTTTAGATATTAGACAGGACTTTCCTGATCAGAGAAGTAGATAAGCATGGAAACAAGTTACCTGGGGGGAAGAAGGTTGGAATTTGCATTGCTGGAGGGCTTAAAGAACAAGTTAAACACATTTGCAAGGTAAGCTTGGCCCTCTATAGAACAGGAGGGTTGGACTAACTAGCCTGTGTTTTCTTCCTACCAAATGAAACAACTTTATCCTTAAAAGTTTTCACAAATCAGATGACGTCTTAACTCTAGATTTAAAGCATTTGCAACAAGGATCAAGAATCATGAAAGTACATTTACAAAGCATTTCCAAAACATTTTACATTTCTTGCATGAACCACTCTTTTTCAATCCCTTATATGAGTCTGCAGAGCACACTGCATCCAACCTTTAGCTTTGGAAGCATGGGTGATATATTTGTGATAAACTTGACATGGGTATTTCTAACTTATAAATCTTCAAAAAGTCTGTTGTCTGTTTTTCCCCAACACAGAGGATCTTTGAGTGGGAAAAAAATAATTAAAAAAAACAAAACACACAGGAAAAAAAAAAACAACAAAACACAAAACAACAACAAAACAAGTAAAGATCTTCTAAAACAATACCATTCCCCAGGAACATCGCCTCTTGCATTTTTGTGAGAATCCTCAGAGTGGCAGCAGTTCAGGCACAGATTGCTCACAAAAACCTTGTTCCACATGCATATGTATAATCTCAGCCAGGGGCTTATAAGGGTCTTCCAAGCCTGGAAGATTTACCTGCCATGACTGTGCTGAAAGAAAATAAAAATGGAACATACAGCTCTAACTGGCACATGCAGTAGAAATCTTATGAGTACATTATTTTTAAATGGTAAATTTCAACTGTCAGCATCAATTTAAAGAACAGTATGGAAAGGTATTCAAGTATATGATTTGAATAGCCCTCAGATCTCCTTGGTACCTTCCTATCCCCAAAGACCACAAGTGGTCTTAAGCAACCTTTACATGAGGTTTCTTCTTCAAAGAAGTCCAGGTAGTTGTCTGAACACACTATTCCAAGTACAGCAACACCTCTAGAATGAAAAAAAAATAGAGAAGTCTAGAAACTGTGATCTGCTGTGGACTACTTGTGACTGGTTCCAGATTCAGCTTCAGACAATGAGAAATTACAGACACAGGCTTCCTACATGAGCCTGAGCAAATTATTTTATCTACCTCTGTATGCATGAACAGGGAATAATAGTTTCTCAAATTTACGTGTTACCTATTGTGAACAAATTTGAAATGACAGTAATAAGATCTCTTTGCCTAGACAGAAAACCAACAGCTGTAATGTAAGCCAGAATGACTAAGTATTCAGTCATTGGGAATACTTTATCTATGCTTGTGTATAGAATGCCAACATCCTGGGTTTCGATATAGTAATAATGCAAATAATCAAATATAAAAATATCATGGGATTATTATTTTTTTTTGACTGCAGAAGACTTCTTATATTAAATCAACAGAATTATTTCCATAATTCCTCATTCTCCTTTTCAGATCAACACATGAATCCAGTCATATAGGCCAAATCTTGATAGTGTTAAAGTGTTGTCTGAAGTCAAAACAACTTCAATGGGAACTAGAACCGTCCTTCAAGGTATGTAAAAAATGCATTCATGGGATGTAATTATATCAGCTGACATCAACTCATTCGGCAGACAGACATGTGACCCTATTCCCTAAGCAGAGCTCTGGGCAACAACCCTGCTTATTTTACTACAGCACAACAAACTAAAAACACAATGCCAAGCAAACTGCAGTACAATTCATCCACACAGCAGAAAGGCATCAGTACTCTTGCAGTCAAATATGGACTCTCAGTCTAAGAATTCCCCTGCTCTTAGCTCCTACGGCACAGGCCATCCCTTCTATGCTCTGGCCACAAAATGTTAAACCGGTCAATCCAGCATCAGACAGGTGAAATGTTATGTCAGATATAAAATAAATAAATAAACCAATCAATCGAACCTTCAGAGTTGAGACTCCATGAAGATGTTAAAGTCAACAAAGTGTTTTGCGAAGGTGTCAGAGTTTCCATGGGAAAAATTTCCCATTTTGTTCTTCAGAGAGCCTCATATTCATTTGCTGCTCCCTTCTAGTCTAGAGACAAACAAAATTCTGGTCCTTTTTAACCTGCAATCACTATGGTGAAACATAAGAGTAGAGACTACTCCAGAAATATCAGTTTGCACACCACTTTTCTGCCATAACTTGCCAATATGAAATCCCATACTATGTAATGCCTTGCTGTCATCTGTGATGGACTTAAAGATTAAGTTGGTATGGCAACACAGATGAAAATAACATAAGGAGAAAATAACAACTTATTTATTTCAAATAACCTAGGGGAGAAAAAAAAAAAAAAAAAAGCAAAGTGAGGGGGGGAAAGAGGCAGTTATGAGATTGAACAGACAGGCTGTAAGGTAAAAAAAAAAAAAAAAAAAAAAAAAAAAAAAAAGGGCCATGAAAAAGCATTAAAAAAAAAAAAACAAAAAAAAAACTCTCCCCCCCTCATTTGCCACGCTGAAGAATCATTGCACACAGCAACATCTACCTTGCTATAGACATCACACAAACCAATACCGACATCTTCTAATTTGATCAATGTTGGACTTCTATGTTTAAGCACAATTCCGTGGGAAACACTGTGTGGGCTGACCCCACCATCCTTTTTGACTGAAGACACTGTGCCCTCTACCACACTCACACAGACAAGACCACAGAAGGCAGGTCTATCGAAACAGCTCAGTTCTCAAAGGTGCCTCAGTAAGGACCACTGATAGGATCAGGCTCAAATGAATATGCATGTAAAAAGAAGTATTTATGATGTTTAAAAGCTGAAAAATTACAGCAGGTAATTTTTACGATATCTTTCCAACAAGACAGAAATGCCCTATGTTTCCAGTCAATTCCAATGACTGATTACAAAGGTGAAAATCTCACAGTAATACAGGAAGTAAAAAAAAAAAAAGGTGAAGTAGGAAATTAATCATTTTAGGTCAAATCCCTGTTTTGAGGCATTTTAGCATGTAAACTCAAGTGGAATACAGACTACAGATTTACTACACCAATACAAAGCATTTATGACAATGGCTGGGGTCTCTGGACGCTACTTGAATTTGCTGGATGGAGAAGAGAATTTCTGTTCTACAGCAAGCTCTGGCCTCCCTACTTGTTTTAGCTTTGATACAGACAGAGAAGACAACAATTTAAATATTTTCTCTAAAATGGAAACAATGAAAAAAAAATCTTGGATAAACAGAAATATTTTGTTTCAGTGAAGTAAGAAGTTTTATTTTGATAACTCTGCAACATGATTAAGGTAGAGCAACCATAACCTTGGCCAGGGAGATGGACTCTTCTTGGGTACCACCCAAAGCTAAGCCCACTGTTATCCTTTCAAACACACAAATGTTTCTGGATACTAACTTATACACAAATGTCAAAAATTTCAAAAAATAGAAGAAAAAGCAAAATGGTCAAAATGCTGAATGTTTACTGGATTAAAATTTTCTCATGAAGTGAGAAGTTTCTGCAAATCTTCCTTCCATTTTTCTGTTACATATTTCACTGAAAGGCAGGCCTATATAACATTTGGATATTTATAAAAGTAAAAAACAATGTAAAACTGCTTCAACTTGAACATTTCATCCATCTCTAGCTCTGATAGACTGTACACCCCCAGAAGGAGCAGTAATACTTCTCATGACATAGAATATTGGAGCTAAAACATATCTCAAAGTGATTTTTTTTTCCTCTTGGTCAATTTAAGGAGAATTTCTACTTCCAGCAAAGTCAGCTGTTTGAAGAGACTGGCCTCACAGCCCTCCTAGAATAATACAATTTAAAGGGAAAGTGGGAGCCCACCACCATTTTACACGAGATGAACGATCACACATGGTAGAAGGTCATAGCATGGTCTTCTCCTGATGCCTATCTCACATTCTCCTGCAGCTGAGGCCTTTATCACCAGCATTTACTCAACATAGTCCCATCCTCCTCATCCATCCCTTGCTACAGCAGCTCCCTGTGCAATGCACAGGGGCCACCATGCAGGAGAGCGGCTGCAGGGTTGTTCTGCAGTTGGAAGACGCTACCAGTACAGACAAGGTTTGCCAGGCCTTTTGGTGGCCCGCTGCTAAGCTATCGCCAAGCCCTTTGGTCTTTCCCATCACACGATGCATGAGACAGGGGTGATTTATGGCACAAAGACAGGTCTGAATCACTTCTTGCAACTCAAGTCCAGTCAACACCAAGTTACTCAACAGGCTCTATTTTGACAACAGATGTGGACACACGTGCATATCAGGGAGTAGGGGTTACCTCTTCTGGTTCATTGAGGACAGCTGACTCCATTCATTTAGGCAAGGGTTGTAACAGTGAGCAGCTGAAATCTCCTGGCTGGTGGTGATCCTGTAGCCCCCAACAATGAAGAGGTAGTTGTCCAGCATAGCCGACCCATAGCCTCGGACGTTCACCAGATCTGGGGGCAGGTTGTTGGCCAGGGGCAGCCACCTCTGTGCCTCCTCCTCATACCTCAGCATTGACCACGGGGCTTCCGCCTGAGGGTGACAGCCTGGAGGCAGGCCCAGAGAGGAGGCACCCATGAAGTCCCCAATGGCCACGAGGGTGGCGGTGCCCCTCATCCGTCTCTCCTTCAGGTGCTGCTGGAGAGCATGAGGCAGGTGGAGGTGTGGCCGGGCATCAGGCCTCCGCAGAACCTGATGGTAATGGGCAGCCATGAAGTCTAGACAAGCATCATGCAAGTCCTGGAGGCCGTAGACCTGAGCCAGGCGGTGCAGCTCCAGGCAGTTGCCCACCCTCACCTGGGAGAGGAGCAGGCGGAGCAAGGGGGTGACCTGCAGGTAGGAAGCAGCCTCCACCAGCTCCTCCAGCAGGGGGGGCTCGTCATCGCCCCCCTCCTCCTGCTCCAGCCTGGCCAGGCAGGAGGTGTTGATGAAGTCCAGCACCAGCTCCAGTCCCAGGGCGCTCAGCCCCCCGCGCAGCAGCTGCTCCTCCTGGCCCTGCCCTGCCTCCCTCATGCCCGAGCGGTAGAGGGCTCGGAAATAGTCACTCTGCTCAATCAGCTTCCTCTTGCACACCGGGTAGCACTTGTCCCCCAGCCGGATCTGCACCACCTCCTCCCCCGCACCATCCCCTTCCCCCTCCTCTTCCTCCTGCCGCTGCCGCTCCGCCAGGGACATTGCGCTCCCCCTCCCCTGACCAAGCTCCGGCCCGGCCGCTGCCGGTGCGGGCTCCTCCTCCTGCTCTTCTTCCTCCTGCTCTTCTTCCTCCTCCTCCTCTTCCTCCTCCTCTTCCTCCTCCTCCCTCCTCCGCCCCGTGCCGGCTGGGAGGAGCCGGGCTGAGCCGAGCCGGGCCGGCAGAGGGAGGGAGGAGGTGCTGCTCCGTCTCCGCGAGGAGAGAAGGGAAAAAAAAAAAAAAAAAAGATCAGAGAGGGATTAAAAAAAAGGTCCTAAAAAGGCGATGTCGGAGCGGCCGTGCCCCCGCCTCCCCTCTCGCAGTGCCCGAATTGGGCCGGCAGCGCTGGGGCTCCGGCCCTGCCATAAACGCGGCGGGGCGGCCCCCCCGGGGGACTCGGCTCCCCTCCGGGGCGCTGTGAGGTCTGCGGCGCGGCTCCGACCGACCCCGGGGCGCTCCTCGGCACAGGCACAGCGGCAAGGAGCGTCCCGCACGGCCGGCACAGCGCTAGGGTGCGGGGACGATTGGGACCCGTAATTCTGCTGGGACCTTCCCGACTCCTGCACAAGCACTCGGTGTCTCAGCTCCTTCTTCGGCTCGTAGAGATACCACATAGCCTTTTCTGATACTCTATGCTTTTTATTTAAACTAAGGTCCTGGAAAAGGAAATAAATGCTATTTACAAGTCACGTAGCAGGGCTCTGTTTTATTTGACGCGAGAAAGGAAAAAACTCAGATGCTCAGTAACACGGATAATGTGGCTGTTCTGCAGTTTGCCCAATTATTTTTCTGAAGAATAATAATTCATTTCACATAATAAAAGTGATTTTTTCTTTTTTAACTGATGAAACAGCCAAGGGAGTCTGCCATTGTATGTATTCTTATATGATGATGCTTAACATAGAAGATGGTACAATAAAAAGACTTTAGCAATCTTGCATTTTTATTTTATTTTTTTTTTCTTTACTTTTATAAAGACTTACATCACCCCATGCTTTGCTAGATTATAGGAAATCTTTCCCTTTAACAGTAATGTGACTCAGCTCCAGCTATTGCAGATAGCTTAGCTTTCAGACAACTCCCTGCTTCCTCTGCTCAGAAGGGATTGTTTCCCCTAATTAATAAAACTCTTCAGTTTGTTCTGGGGACAAGGGGTGTTTGCTGTTTCTTTTTTTTTTTCATTTGTTTTAGTAAAAGGTGTTGTTTGCTTCTTAGCATTTCCTCTGTGAAATGATCCTCTCTCAATTTTGTTGAACTTCAGCTTCTTAATTCTTGTCTATACAAATGACATCAATGTCAACCTCAGAGTTGAACAGTCACTCAGAAAAGGTGTTTTCTTCTGCCAACTTCTATAAAAAACTTTTGTTGAGGTGGGGTAGATTTCTCTGCATTTCTGTTTTATCACCTCTCTTCACAGCATCTTGCTTTTGAATCCTGTTTTCTGTTTTGAAATCCTTAGAAATAGGACTTCAAATGTTTCCAAAAAGCTCTCTTCAGCAGCTTCAGTCCCTAGCTAGGTCACTATCACCTCTCATTTTTTTCTTTCCTACTAATGAGTTCCACTGTCTGCTTCTTTTGTGTCCCTCTTTCATTCCCACTCAGTATTTCAGTTATTTTCATATACACTTTACTGTATTCTGGTCTTGGTGAAACACTGCATTATTTGGCTCTCCAAGCTTCTTACACCTAGCAGAAACCTGAGTCTGACCACTGGCCATTTTTTATCTGCCTCAGGTTCAGCCTGAAAAGATGTCACACAAAACAAGCAAAGGTTCTACCACTTCTGTAGGACTCTAACCCATATGTCCTGTTTGCACTTTAATTCCCACAGCCAGACATTTCAAGTAACTGTAATAATTTATACTCCAGAAGTAAACAGAGAGCTCATGCTTGTCATGGCCATTAAGCTCCCCTGCTGGAATACAGTATGATTGCCAACACAGTGGTATGATTGCCATCTTTAGACATCTGGTTTGGAAGCTCATGTTTGATGTACTGGTAAGTTAGCTCCTAATTGGTGAGTGATTTTTTCCGTGTAGTCAGTTATGATAAGTTCTGTTCCCTCAAAGTGTTGACACCACAGCCTGGATAGTTAGAATATTTCTGCTGCTGCCTTAGTGCCTTCCAGTGGCCTATGTGCCTGCACCTGCCACACCACCAAGGATTTCAAATCCACCTTCGTCACATTTCATGAGGTTTTTAATAGGCTACTAAAAACCGTTTTTCCCAACAGTAAACTTTTGAGAGCACTGACTTGTATAGCTCTCATCAGGAGCTGTCATAAGCACAACGGGTCAGCAGTACTCTTTGTTGGATGGCCACTTTTGCAGAAAGCTTAAATCTGTTTCTTCATCCAATTGTTTTTACTAGACTGATTGTCAGCTATCTGTACTTTATCCAGGTTTAGGACTAGACAACTGTGTTAAGTCAGAGTATGCTGACAGGGCAGATCCATTGTTCTTTTACTATGCTAATCAGTCTGTATGCTGTGCTTACATTGTACTTACACTGCAAAAACACCAAGGCAAGGACTACCTTTCTGTTCCATATTTGTCCAGGTAATTTTGTACAGATAATCCCAGTCCACAGCTATACTGTGGTATATGCTAAGATACATATACATTATTATACTGGAGTCAAATAAAAGGTCTTGTGGTTTCACCAGCAGACATCTTAGTTGATCTTACAAGAGTAAGCAATATATTTTCCACAGTTGAAAATGGAAATTTCTAGTACTAGAGCTACTATGTCAAAATCTGTAGGCAAGACCCATAAAAAAACTTGCACTTTGAAAAACAAATATGAAAAAAAATCTGCAACTCATTAAGAACATGATGAAAAATGGAAGAACACAAAAACAAGTTTGCATCATGGCAGGTATTAAACAAGTGTGTGTTAAAAGAACATACCCTGAAGAACAAGACATTTACATAGAGAGGACAACAAAGGTAATGCTCTCAGCTTTTCAGTGCCTAGCTTCTCGATTTGGCTTCTGGAGTGAAATCTTCAAGCCTGTTTTAGACATATTTCAGGTCTCTCTCTATAGTGAAATTATTCTCATGTGCCAGCAAATGGAACACAGCGGCACCAGAAAATGTCAGTAAGGGCTCTCTCGCTCTGGAGTTGAGATAGTCATTTCTGGTTGGGTTAGCCTTCTTCACAGGCTAGACACTTTTTCTTGTACCTAAACTATTCTCTTCTATTTAATGCCTAAATTATTTCCAAGGCTGAAAAATGATCACTCTTTTCTTTTAGAAAACTTGGAAATGGAAGAAGCTTTTTTATACAGCAGCCACATTGTAACAGACCATTCAACCATGATAAGGAAAACCTAAGCTTCTGCCCCTTTCTCTGCCTGGGCATGCATTTCTGTAGCCCTTTGCATAGCAAAAGCAAGGAAACAGAGAGGGAGTCAGGAGGAGTTACTGCTGGAGAGGACAGAAGAGGGGAAGAGAAAGGAGAAGAGAGGAGTACTCTTTCTGTTGTGCATGGCATCTTGGTTATGCTTCCTGACTGGCGTTGCACAGAGCATGTAGGCAAGGAACAGCTAAAAGACTGATTCAAGGCTGCTCTGTGTGCTGAGGCTGAAGCCTGCTTAAACTGTATAATCATCTCAAGTATATAACACTGTTTTAACTTAGGAAACTATGGCCATTTATTTTTCCTCAGTGAACAACTTGATGGCTTAGCATGGCAAGCTGGCTGGGTTTCCAGTTTGATTCCCTGTGCAGTCACAAGATGCAGCAAAGTAACAGAAGTACCAGTGACTGGGAATCAGAATGACAAATGCTTTTCCTGGCAGGAAACCTGGTTTACATACACATGAAATACAGCCTGAATTTCTTTGTGGGTCTAACCCAAGATCACACAAAAAAAATATGCAGCAGCAGAGAACCAAACCCTTAAGCACCAGCAGAGTGTCTAAAAGAACACTGCAGTCGTTTTGTATTTGTTTTAGGCAAACCTTCCCTTGATTCAACACAGAGAAACTGGATAATACGTGGGCATCAGTAAGAAAGATCAGTCTGACTGTTCTAAGGACCAGACCACATAGAGGGCAAAAAACAATGGAATTTTTGAATTCCTTTCAGTTGTATTAGACTAAACCGTGAACTGAAATGGAATCGGGATACTTAAAATACACACGCTACTTAATATAAAATATAAAGTGCCACATTCTTCCCTCTGAGATGCCAGGGAATTGTACTGTTCTGCCAAGGGACTGTGTATTGGGTAATAGTGGAATTACTCAAGAGAGGAATTAGTCTTTTGGAAACGATTCACTAGCTGCTGCCATTGTTTAGTACTTTCCTTGTCACAGGATACAAAGTAAGCATCTGTGGAGCATAGGAAATATTCTGCAACATTTCAGCATTAAAAATATCAGTGTTCTAAAGGATCTTGGCATTTCTAAGAGCAACTGACTGGAGCATAGTTTTATTTCAACAATCTCTATCATTTGTGAAAGACGAGCTGCTAAACAAAGGTAATTTTATTTAAGAATCATAGCCAAACAAAGCACTTCTTACACAATACCATTAACAGTGCTATTCAAAAATAAGTAAACAAACCACTCCTATTTTTAATAGCACTTATTCCGACTTTATTCCCTATTTTCTGATTATTTTTTCTGCTCTTGATGCACGATATAATATTTACTGCTTGCAACACAAGTATTTTGTAATACTACTGAAAAAATACTTGAAGTGGTATTTTTGGAATTTATTAACAAATACTTCTCCCCGATTTAGTCAAATTTAATGAGTGATTAATACTCAAGTGTGTTTCACCAAGCTCTCTTCAGGCAGCAAAGAGGCTGTTACAACTGTCTGTGTGTTAGTGGACATTCCCTGTGGATCACAAGGAAGTTCAGTCACCAGACAGCAGAATGGAGGCATGAGTGTGTAGTTACAATGACATTCAGTCTAGTCTGGTTTTTTACATGAGGAATTTCCTTAAAAACTCTCAGGTGAAGTAAGTGTTCCCTGATAAAACTTCAGTGGGGGTCTGGCTGCTGGAGCATCCTGCCTGCTGCTGAATCTCCTGTTCAGAATGTTTGTCCTGCACAAAAGCATTGTGCATGTCCAGGCCAGAATTTTCTTTTGTAGCTTTGTCTAGAGGAGAGTAAACTGGGAGCTTTTAAAACAGTGCATATTTTTAAATCCTTGTGCAGACAGGACTGAATATTAGTATGAAATAACTAGGTTAGATAAATGGTATCCCACATGGAAGTTTTTTCACTGAGTATCCAGCTGTATAAAATTCATCACAATGTTGAAACTCTATCTCTCTGCCTAGCCTTAACTTCTGTCATAAATCAACATTCATACATTAAAG